GGGGTTCGTCTTTCAGATGGGCCCGTTTGATTTTCCGCCGCCCCGCGGGACGCGGAACGCCGGGGGGTGCTTCACTTTTCGAGGTCTCGTTAGGAGGATCCAGCGGGTCGGAGCGGCCGAACCCCGTCGAGCCGCCCCCCTCACTAAAGGGCGTTGCCACGTACCCCCTGGTCTGTGAGGGCCCCACCCCACCGGTAATCTCAACGCACTGCGTGAGACTTCTCTCGGTTAAACGTCTTCCGGGGGGGCTGACCTCCGTAGGGTTCAGCCGCTGCGTTTTCAAGCGCAATTTTTCAGCCCTTTCCGCCACCCAACGCGTCTGCTTTTCGACATTCCCGGTTTTTACAGGAATGTCAAGGGCTGTGAGGACATCCAGGGCGTGCATCGCGGCTAACATGTCCGCATCGGCCTCTCGCGTGGAGATGCCCACCCCACCTCGAATTCCATACGCGTCGGGAACGGGCAACACCACCGTCGACCTAATCATTCCGTGAATTAGCTCACGGAAGAAGGGATTCTCCGCACGCGGAATTTGATGAGCTTTGAGAAAGCCCTGTAGGTCGTCTATGGCGGTAGACTCTCCTATGGCGGTCTCAATGAAGTCCGTGATTTGCTCGGCAAGGCGGGTATGCTGAAGGACCAGCGCCTCCTCATAATTGGGTGTAGAAAAGCGAATTCCCTTTTCGATATACAACTCCTTTAGCGGCAAAGGGATTGTTACCTGTGCAGGGTTGACAGGAATGCTTTTGTTGAGTGGGGCCGGTCTCCCAAAGCTCCACACAATCATGGCGTGGTTCTTTTGTTTGGCATCATCATTAGGGAAAATCGGGATGTTCAGGGCATCAAGCACCAGCTCGGCGTGCATGCAGGCCAGGGCAACGGCATTCTCGCGCTTTATGGCTTTGCCTTGCGCGCGCACGACAATGTCCTTGTGCTGCGTAATCTCAGAGGGAATGGTGATGGATGCCTCATAAAACGCCTGATACCCCATACTTTTCGCCTCCTTGGATTCAATTGTGCAGAACTGCGTGAGAGAAAGGCCATAGTATTGAAAGAAAACACGAATCCGCGCCTCAGCCTTGGGGTCGAACACGCATGGAGATAAGAGAGCGACAGATGGCGAAATAAAGTTTGCACTGGCTCGCACATCCACGAGCTGCCATTTTCCTCCCTCGGATTCATCCTTGAGGAGCACCCATCGAAGCGGCAGGGGGAAGTTGATCGCCTGCGGGATATGGCTTGCATCCAAATCATCAGAGCTCGGCGAAAACCGCCCCTCTTTTCTTACGGCCGCCGCATGCTTTCGTTGCATAGATGGCAAGGTGTAAATGTGATAACCTAATTCGTCGATGATGCGCTCGGCATGCATAGCAGCTAGCAGCTCTGCGCTTTTCACATCGCAGGCAACTCCATGAGCCCATAGCCCTTCCGAAGCATCAACCTCACTCACGTCTGGGTGACGAAGCGGGAGCTGAATGCGACTGTGAAAAATATGCGTTTCGTTTTGCGTATCGATTCCCTCACCCGCACCAACCTCCACTGTGTGAAAGACATCCCTTCCGGAACTTATTACACGGTCCTTCACATATCGTTTTAGAAAGTTGACAACACGGGAACGTGAAAAGTTATCAAGGTGTTCTACCTGTTGAAATGATGTTGGCATGGAGGAAGAAAGCGCTGCGCGCAGTGCGGGCGACATCGCCTCAGGGTTCGAAAACGCCCCCGATGTGGAGCGTCCTTTGGTCGTTTCCGCCTCCACAAATGAAACGATAGAAATGTCTTCCGGTGAAATCGAAGTTTTGGCGCGTACAAAACGCGCGTCGCTGTGCAACGCGGCAACTCTCCGGAGGTAAGAGGACCACGCGAAAGTTGCGCTTGCACTAGCCAGTCTATGAGAGACCGCTTTTGGCCATTTGTTGGTGCTGGCTGATGATATTCCTCCCGCCAAAGGAACAGTGTGGGACTCCTTTAGGACGGTGGATAGACTCCATTTAGCATACTTATACATCCTATGACCCCTTTTATAGCTCCACAATTCTACTCTTGACGAGAAATAAAGTCAATTTTTTTCTCTTGTAAGACACAAAACTCCATTCAATGTATGAAAAATATCAATAACAAAGGGACCCAATAAAAGTGCATTATCTAAAATCTAACCATCCATTAGATATTATTATTATTTTTTTGGAGGGGGCGTTAATAATGTATCAATTACGCAATCATACATTTCTTTTAAAGATTTACTTAAAGCAGTATAAAACAGGAAATAAGAATGCCCATGAAGTATCTTGCGAATTAGAAAAAAAAGGACGTTGAACACTTTTCTGATTCCAGTTCAACACTTGCATTCACTCCAATGACCTAACTCAAATTTGTTATTACAAATCGCCCTCTTCAATGCAATGATCCCCACCCGTTGCGGTCCATAACTTTTTTATGCCGGTGAAATCATTTTTCGCGCTAGGGTTGATCACCGCAATAAAACCCTCAACAGTCGGTGCAGAAGCTATCATCCAGGGTTCTTTCATCAAATTCTCGTTTAGCTCTAACACGAAACCGTTTACACACGCCGGAATCGGGTACGAGGTTCCATCTGATAACGTGAGGGTGCACATCTTGGTTTCCACTTGGCAAACAGCCGCGTTCTTCTTCTTTTTTCCAACAACCCCAATGCTGCCCGTAGCGATGTTTGAGTTGCCTCTACCGGATCCGTACACCACGGAGCGGACGGAAAGCTTCTGCTCCGGCGGTGCGCTGCGAATGGCCTGCAAAGCCACATGAGATGGATCGACGCACAAAACGCAGAGCCCATTACTATGCAGCATAAGACGAATGTTATTGCCCACTATTTTTTTGCAATCCTCGAACAAATACTGGTGATAGTAACGTTCTGTGAAGTATTCGAAAGTTGTAGGGGTAGGGCATAGAACGCTTTTAAACAAACCCGAACTGCTCAAATCCCCTGTATTTTCATTTTCTGTCTCTGTGCTATGATTAACATCTTCTAGTACTATGCTCGTCATTGATTCCCTTTCAGTGTACGGCAGGTGGCAAAAAGTGATTATAGTAAAAGCACAAAGTACACATAATTTATTATGAATCCGAAACCAAGTTGACATGCGAGGCGTCCAAGTAGAAACCTCTGTTATGGTTGTTGCGGTCGTTAGCATATTTTTAGTTTAAGAGCAAACCTGGGTAAATGCTTTTTCTTCACGAAAAGGCAAAACAGGGAGTGTATAAAATTCGTTTTTCCTTTCTCTCGCGCGCTCTCTCTATATGTATAGATAAATAGGTATGACGCTGTGATCGATAGAATTTTCTTTTACATCCTGTTCTTGAAGGCCTCTCGTTTCTTCTGCAAAGCCTCCTCGTAGCTCTTACGCAATGGCGCGTTGCGCGGGTCGAGGATGTTGGCCTCGACAACTCGATATCTAAAGTTGAAAGGAACGCGTCCACCGGACTGGTTGGACAGCTGCCGAGCGAGGTGATACTTCTCCTTGTTTGATGCCCCACGACTGTTCAGTGCCTCCTTCTCCAGCTCCAACCGTCGCCGTCGGCGCTTTCCGGTTTGATGGGCCCCTCCCTCCGCCGTCAATCGGCTCCTTCGCGCCTTCGCCTCCTCCTCCTGCAGCGCCCGGGCGTCCGGATCCATCACGTCGAACTGCCCAAAGATGCTCCCCAGGTCATTCGCCTCGCGCACCTTCACCCCAATCGGGATGACATCGTTTGGCGAGGCGTAGAGGTCCATAAGCGCCTCGTAGGGCGGCTGCTCGCCGTGTTCGAGCGCACCCTCACGCGCTGTTGCCGTGAAGCCCTCGCTGAGGGCAGGGGCGGATGAGGCTTTCTCGGAGCTCCCCCCCTCCGCGCGCGCGTCTTCCTGCTCAGCCGTAGGTACTAATACGGGATCCTCCAAGGGATCGTTCAGCATGGAAAGCCAGGGGGAATCCCAGAGGTGAAGCGCATCAGGGCCTGCCACTCCTTCGTGTTTCGCAGTGGAAAGGTCGCTTTCGTCATGGGGGAGCGCCGCCTTGGGATCCGTCACCGCCTCGGGCCTTTCCTCTGCAGGGGACGCCAAGACATCCGGGATACTCTTCAAAGGTGATAGGGCGGCGTCATCCAGCACCTTTGCCCGACCACACCTTGGAGCGAAATCCTCCAGCGTGAAATCGATGCACGGGGTATCGTTAATAAGCGCCTCGTCGACGTCCACAATCGTTTCCGGGGTCTCGGTCGACAGAATTTCAACCTCGCGCGCGAAGAGCCGGGGGGACACACGTTTGAGCGTATCCACGACGGCCTGGTCATCGGTGCAGAGGACGATCTGCGTGGTCGACGGGGCTAAAGTACACAACATCGCTAAAACAAGAATCAAATGATCGTTATCCGATTCCGAAGGATCGAGCCCAAGTTCCGTCAGCTGGACGTCTTCGAGGATGCCGTGAGCTTGCAAGCACTCGGTAAAGTGCAGCACCCGCGTCCGGCGAGAGGATGTACCTCCACCCCTCTCCTTCCCTCCCCTACGGGCATCCCCCGTGGGGTGTTGGAGGAGCGCACCCAAGGCGCGTAGCCGCTGAGAAGCAAGAAACGGCTCGCTCTGGATTGCCTCCTGCAAGACCGGATCAAAGGAGACCACCTCCTCGGTGTTGGCGATCGACGTGCCCAGTTGCACCAAGGTGATGTATGGAATGAGAAGCAGCGACCCCCCGGCGCCGTCGTCGGTTTGCTTCTCGTTCGTCAACCCCAGCCTCAAAAATCCCTCGCCCGTCTCAACAAAGGACGAATCCAAGACATAAACCCGACTCACCTCCTCCCGGCTGAAGAGATTCGCCTTCAGGCTGACCGCATCCGTCGCGATGCCATCCCCAGCCTCCAGGATGTAATCCGAGAAATGCGGCAGCGAGTTGAGGAGGGAAAGATCGAGTTTCGGCATCGAATGGGTGATGACGTCTAATGCGTCGTGGACGGCCTGCGAGCCCGTTTGCGCGCGAAAATACGCGGCGGCGCTCTGGCGGAGGGCGACGTCCAACACCGCGAGGTCCGCCTCCGCGACGTCCTCGCCGTGCACCTGAGCCGCGAGGAGCAGCGACTGCACCCGCCTCGGCCCCCCCGTCTCGCGCCGCATGAGCAGCCGATAAAACGCGGGCAACCCCAGCGCGTTGGCGTAGTAGAAAAAGTCGACGTACTCGTACTTCCAGTAGTGCTCGACTTGCTTGACGATGTCGAAGTCCTCGTCGAGCTTCGCGCGCG